TTAACCTCTTCCCAACGTTAGGACGTCAGGGCTTTTCCCCATAGTTCTCCTAAGGGTCACGGGAGAACACAAACTAGCGTCCTCCCATGACCCAAAGCTCAGTATATAGGGAGCTACAGCTCCCGGGTATACTGAGATGCCGCAGCCGGGACAGATCCCGACATTACTGTCTGGATCCACCCAGCTGCGTGAGTGACAGCTGGCTTTGCCTGCTTTGCCCGCCCCCTCCCCCGTCCGTTCCGCCAGTCAGCGCTGGAAGATCGGACAGGGGAGGGGGAGAATCCCTGCAGGGAGTTGACAGTCACCACTCTCTGCAGGGACATGATCGAGAAGTGAGCGAGCGCCGGTATGTGTTCCCTCACCTCCCGATCTACTGAGCCGACCTGTCACAGTTTCATTGTCACAGGTCGGCTCAGATTATGAGGCTGAGTGAAAATCACTCACCTTATAATTCTCCTTTTTAAAGACGTTGGGACAACATGGAAGGTCCTAACTCCTAAGCCCTTCTGTCGTCGCCCCTCCCCCCGTTATACTTACCCGCCGGGATGTGATGATCCCAGTGACAAGCAGTCACTGCCATCAGTGATACACTGTGACAGCCAATTATTCAAATCATTCACTGTCAGCACTGCTTCTCCCTCTCCTCAGTGTGATCTGAGGGGGGAGAAGTAGATCAGTGCTACTAAGTGTCCAAATAAAAGACAAAACAGAGCGCCTCCATAGTGTAAAAAAAGTCATTTATTTGAACGGCACACAGCTGAAAATATACTCACAAAAGGTCGATCGATAAAAGGCATGCAAGAGATGAAGTATGAAACTCTGACAGCGGGAGTCTCACGGGGTGAAACAAATCAAAAGTCCTCTGCCCCTGTGAGTTCGGATGGTCTACGCGTTTCAGGGGCACGCCGCCCTCATCAGAACCTAAAGGAACTCTTCTATATCCTGCTCTATTTAAATTTAAAACTGACCAATCACTGAAGTTTGTTTACGAAAGGTCATATGGCAATTTCAGACCAATTGCCGGTAATCCAGCTATTGGCTCACACCTGTCTGGCGGATAAAACCACCATTACTAATAATAAAAAAAAAACAAAAAACATTGTCATTCCTATTAAAATTATTATCAGAAAATACTGAAACGAATTAATATAAAAACCGTTATAAAAAGGGTTTAAAAGGTATAATATTACTATAAATTGGAAAGTCCTCTGACTCTGGTGGAAAAAACGGCTCTTGAGATCGCAAACAGATATCTTGGCTTAATAGCAACTATGCAATTCATAAACACTTAGGGTTTGTCATATAGTTCCAGATTGTTGCAAAAAACTTTTTAGATGTAACGTTGAAACAACAGAGAGAGAGAGAGAGAGAGAGAGAGAAACACCATATGCAATCACAATAATAAACATAACGTATAAATGATAAAACACGGCAACAATCAATTATGTTGTAGGTTCAAAAAATACAATACAACGATCAATAGCATTAGTAACACAGAGAATCCATAGAAAAACCTTATTAACGTGGTAATACTATGTGAATGGAAATGCATTTGATAGTGCAATTATTACTAGTTGATATACTGTCTCAAAGATATCAACTAAGTCTTATATTAGTACAATAAGCTAAATCAGATGGCAAATTAGGAAATAACTAGGATAAATAATTGAGCCAATAGCTGGATTACCGGCAATTGGTCTGAAATTGCCATATGACCTTTCGTAGACAAACTTCAGTGATTGGTCAGTTTTAATTTAAATAGAGCAGGATATAGAAGAGTTCCTTTAGGTTCTGATGAGGGCGGCGTGCCCCTGAAGCGCGTAGACCATCCGAACTCACAGGGGCAGAGGACTTTTGATTTGTTTCACCCCGTGAGACTCCCGCTTTCAGGGTTTCATACTTCATCTCTTGCATGCCTTTTATCGATCGACCTTTTGTGAGTATATTTTCAGCTGTGTGCCGTTCAAATAAATGACTTTTTTACACTATGGAGGCGCTCTGTTTTGTCTTTTTGTTTCCCAGATCCAGGGTCTTGTTGACCGGTGGGAGCAGCCTCCTTTGTGTATCTACTAACATCCCATTGGGCTTTATTCTTGCAACCGGCGGCGCCGGTATTTGTTGTCTTTAAGTGTCCAAATAGTCCAAGTGTGCCAAAAGTAACAAACCTTTATTTTTAAATTAACCCCTTCATTGCTGATCAGTTTTGATTGGGGGGTATTCTTTTTTTTTTTTTTTTAAATTATACCTTTTTTAATTTTTTACAAAAATTAACCCCTCCAGCGCTGATCAGTTTTTGCATCCCTTTTTTGTTTTTTATTTTATTATAATTTTACCCTTTGTTAGTTTTACCCATTTTTAATACTTTAAAAAATGAACCCCTGCAGCGCTGACATTGTAGAATACAATTATGGGAGTTTTATTATTGCAGTAAAACGTATCAGTATTCCGATATTCCCAATAAAATGTGTGTGAACATATTTGGTAAAAAAAAATGTAAATGTCTTTTCATTTCTCATAATTGAGATATATAATTAAAGTTCATTTATAAATATTTGATGTCAGACGAAAGCCCTATTTGTCCTCTAAAAAAACCATATATAATAAGTGTGGGTCTATTTAATGTGAACGAGGTTCACTACGGCTCAACAGACATAAAGCTCAAATTCTGTTTAGTTTACGTTCAGGACTTGGACAGCGGTCTCCATAAGGGGTTAAGCTGGGTAATACCATTTCTATTTTCTTCCTTCAACCTGCGGCCTGAACTAGGAAAATGGAACCGATTCATCTATTACGAGCGTGGATGAAGGTATATTCTGCTGTATACATTGGGGGGAATTTATCCAAATCTGGAGCAGATGTACACTGCAACCAATCAGCTTCTCTCTCTCATTTTCAAATCCTAACTGAGCAAACAGAAGACAGATGCTGATTGGTAGCCATGGGCAACTGCTCCTGTTTCTGTCTTCTCCAGTTTTGATAAATTCCCCCCCCCCCCCCCCCACACCCCACTGTATTCTGGCAGTGGCCGGCAACCGCTGTCACAATACCCGAACAGAGCCAGTAGCTCATTGGCTGCTCACTCTGTTCGGCTGAGAAAAAAACATGCTGCTGTGATCAGCTGATTGAGGGATGCCTGCCAAAAGGGTGCCGACAGCAGCACCCACGCTTTAGATATAAAATCTCTTTTTATCCTTTCCTATGAAAGTGACCTTTATTTCCATCTGGTTCTTCAATCTTTTCCATTCGGCCGTTCTCCTCTAGCCTCCTTCTCCAGGCAGTGGTGTACTGGCCATCTCTTCAGCTGTTTTTTTGTTGCCATTTTCCTACTGTTTCTGAGAACCCGGGCCGGGGTCATGCTGTGTCCCCTTTTCTCTAAAGCTGGTCATACACTGTATTATTTTCTTTCAACCTGCGGGCTGATTAAAGAAAATATAAGATTCCTCTATCAATGCTTACGGGTTTTGATCGATTAATTTTCCCGCTGTCTTCATTGTATTCTGACCGCTGCCCGATCTGTTTGTTTGAAGATTTCACGACCGGCTCTTTCAAGCAGCTGATCAACGGATGCCGGCCGAGTGCCGACAGGGGCACCCACTGTGCCAATTTCGTCTGGTTCATCAAAATGTGTATCTGTGCCATTTAGTCCATAATAGAAGTCACCAGCACTGGATGATGTGTGCAAGAAGTAAAGCACTTTTTATTAAATTGTCAGTGCTGGTGACTTCTATTATGGACTGTATCTGACACGGCGCCAGTGGCGTAACAATAGCCATAGTGACCCAGGCGGCCGCTATGGGGCCCAGGCACAGGGGGGCCCAGCCAGGACACCCCCCTGATGCCGCCTGGGTCGCTATATGTTAGAACGCACCGCTGTTCAGATCACCGTGATCTTTGCAGCGCTGCGTTCTTCTCCATAGCCGCTGCTGAGTCAAAACGGCGCCATCGGTGTTGTCACTTCAAGCATCAACCTTTCATCCAAGGTCTGTGCGCTGTATGGAGTGCTGGTGATTTCGTATTATCTGTTCCATTTAGAACACCTTTGCTGTCTGCTGCAGTGAATTATGTAAGTTGTAGACGGACATTTTCATGAACTAATGCGGACGCCTTTCATAGAAATAAGGTTGAACACAATGTTTTTGTGAGCAGTAGTAAAGAATAACATTTCACAAGGTGGAAGCCACACTGACCAGCTGGCACTCTCTCCTAGATGTCCTTAGCTTGGGGATCTCAGGCATGGTTTGGGGGGCAGTCTATAGGCAGGTAAAGAGTAGGAACGCTTCCCTGTGAAGGAAAACAATTTTCTTTGTACAGATTTCTTCATTGGAACTACAATCTTCCCTCTCGTATGTGAAATCTCTGCTGTGTACCCACAGGGACTACATGCCCGGAGGTAGACGAGACTATTCGGTGCAGGTCCAGCTCAGGTACAGTCTCATTTCAAATTCATTTTTGTTTTTTTCTCGATCCAAATAATAGTCGGCATTGATTTTTGTTCTCTCTGTCGTGACAGGTTGTGTTTAGCAGAGACGAGCTGTCCTCAGGAGGACAACTTCCCCAGCAGTCTCTGCATTAAGGTCAATGGAAAACTATTTCCTTTGCCGGTGAGTTTTTATTCGTCCTTGCAGTTTTATTGCACCAACAAGTTCAGTAGCACTTTACAGAGTACAAAGGCCATTTTACATCAATGGTTGCAGTGGAAGGAACTTGCAATTTAATGTTCCTCACAAACACTAGAAGCAATTATAACTTATTGGAAGCTTACAAATGGGGTCAGTCGGTGTGCTTTAAGTCACGCCCTTCATTCTGCGTCTCTTGTAGGGATGTCCCCCACCACCGAAAAATGGTGCCGAACAAAAACGACCCGGCCGCCCACTAAACATCACATCTCTGGTCAGACTGTCATCTGCTGTGCCCAACCAGGTCTCCATCTCCTGGGCTTCAGAAATCGGAAAGGTGGGTGAGTTTATTGCCCTCTATTCCAGCATATACAGCTCTTCTGGAGAATCTTTGATTACAGATCTCTCATTAGTCCTGTCCTTTATGTCTGCTTGTTAAATGTTTTTTCTCTCAATCTGTGTTCTGTGTGCCTTTTCAGAACTACTCCATGTCTGTGTATTTGGTGAGGCAGCTGACCTCTGCAGTGCTATTACAGAAGCTGAAGATGAAGGGCTTTCGGAATCCGGACCATTCCAGAGCACTGAGTAGGTGTATGATGCATTGCGTGGACGTTCTGCGTCACAGCTACTTTGTTTGCCATCACAGGATTATTACCGTCTCCTGGGTTAACCCTAAAATCACTGCCTGTCATCTCAGAGGCAACCACTAGGCGGCATATTTGCTCACTTTTTTAATCCTTAGTCTTGTCTTTCTTATGGCAAAACCTTATTGTTATTATTACAGGTATTTACTGTATATCACCGACAATTTACCCATTGCTTTACATGCTGCACATTCACATCGGTGCCTGCCCTCAAGAAGCTTATAATCTAAAGTCCACATGTTACATACATACATGCATGCATGCATGCATGCATACAAGGCCGATTTAGACATGAGCCAATTAACCTTCCAGCATGTCTTTGTAGTGTGGGAGGAAACTGGAGTACCCGGAGGAAACCCACACAAGCACAGGGAGAATATGCAAACTCCTTGCAGATAAGTGTCCTGACTGCGATTTGAACCAGGGACCCCCACCACTGCTAACCACCACGCCATATTACTGCAAATAATAATACTTCTAACAGATATGCGGATCTGAATCAATAATATTTTCAGATGTATGTGGATGTGTTTAAATTAAAATACACAGTCCACACTAAACTGATACTTAAGTTAAAAGTGGATGCTAGCAAGCTGAACCACCATCCATTTCTTATTGCTTGGGGCATTTACTGATGTGGTATACCAGCTCTAGGTTCTGACTGTGTCGCTTCATAACATAAAGTAATTGCATGTTCTGCACATGCTCCATTCTTTTATTGCTCAACTTATTATATACCATTTATAGCGGTGTTGTGGATTTTGTGTTTTTCAGTAAAGGAGAAGCTGACCGCAGACCCGGATAGTGAGATTGCAACCACCAGCCTGCGTGTCTCATTGATGTGCCCTGTAAGTACAGCTTTGTAGTAAGTACATTTTAGCTTTTCTTTTTATGAAATATACTTTCATATAAAACAAAACACATATATAAGATTCCTTTTATTCCACTCGGTCTTCTTTTTGGTCTATATTCTTAATGCACTGAAAGACATGAAGTCCTCATCTAAATGGTAGTGTAGCCCCCATCACCTTCTGTGATGTGGCTACTATACATTTAGTGATAGCCAGGGCTGTAGACAGCCTGGCTGGATTTGTAGTGGCAATTATCTGATTAATCCCAGGTGTCTAGCCTTGCCTGTACCCCCCTGGGTGGAGTGTGACTCTGTCATATTGTGGAACAGTATGGTACATATATTGGTGGGATCTGCCATGTGCTCAGACTAGCCGGGACCAGCCATGGATTAGGGCTGGGTCCTGTTCAACCTGCCCCCCAGGCTAGGCCAAGGCCTGGGGGTGGGCTGGTATGAGGGAAGAGGTTTCCCTGAGACCTCTAACATGGAGGAGGCCTGGGATGCTGAGGAAAGAGGAAGAGAACCGGGACCAGTGCAGGCTCTCTTAAAGTACCCTGGAACTAAGTGGACTTCCGGAGCATGGGCGGTGTCTTTCCTGATTGAGGATCTGCATCTATCCTGCCTGTCATATCAGTGTCTGTCTGCTGTCTACTAAGTGGATTTGCACTGATACATCTACAAAGTCTGGAGCTTCTGATGGCCACCCCTATACCCTCTCTACTGAATGTGTAATAATAATGTAATGTAATAATACATTGTTTACTTAGCATTTTACTACCGAAGCGGACATCAGTTTATGGGCACGTGAAGTGTGCGGTTAATGCGATCGGGTGGGCAGTTGAAGATCATACCCTAGACCACATGTGTCAAACTCAAGGCCCAGGGGCCAAATCCGGCCCACCAGGCCATTTCCTAGACTTCTACTTTCAGATCTAGGTATTACTAAAACCAGTGATAATCGAATGCAGAGGCAATTCTGATAAAGATTAGATACATTTATATAGTCTTACAGATACCTTTGAGGGCAACCATAATGTTGATGCGGCCCACGATTAAATTGAGTTTGACACCCCTGCGCCTAGACCGACTAGAAGTGAACCAGGCAACCAGCGGCTCCTGTGGGGGTAGCTCTATAGTAGTTTGCAACATGGAATACTTTACAACTTAAGGTTGCAATTTGCTTATTCCCTATGCTCCGGAAATAAAAATACAATTGAACCAGTCTGTAAATTCAGGTGCTCCGTCTTATTGCTACGCAAGGTTTTTTCTTCTAGAGTTATGTTAGTTTAGGCAAAATCCAAAGCAAAGGAAAAGCCACACAAGTGTCTTCTGTAGTTGTGTTTATTGGAAAGCTCTCATCCCATGTCAGGCCCACAGAACTTTAAAGGGACACTAAACTCGGGAATTAAATCTTAAAAATACATTTAAGCATCTTAACTATGAACAACAATGTATCTTATTTGTGATCTTTAATGAGTATTGTCGGTATATTCTGCTCTCCAGCTGGGGAAGATGAGACTAACCCTACCATGCCGAGCGGTCACCTGCACTCACCTGCAGTGCTTCGATGCTGCCCTCTACCTGCAGATGAATGAGAAGAAACCCACCTGGATTTGTCCTGTGTGTGACCAGAAAGCCAGCTATGAGAGTCTGATATTAGACGGGTATGTATGTATTTGTGTCAGCAGCGACACCTCCTACACATGCTGAAGGCATTGGCACAGGCTCTCACCCTTAGAAGTCTTTTGCATTGTACAATAAGCAGAGCTAATAAAGAGGTGTACCCTCATGTAATGTACTTCCTCAGTCAGTAGAATAAGGGATCTGTAATATTTAGATATTTCTAATTCATACACATGAATATGTAATATGAGCCGTGTATCAAATACATGTTCATGGTTTATAAACCTTTCTATGTAGATGTCATATTTATCTAATTGTTATGCAGAGTTTTGAAGTATACATTGTTCCCAGAGTCTTATTTTACATCTCCGTAGACCAGGGGTCCTCAAACGTTTTTTTTTTAGCATGTAATTTTTTATTGAAAAGTTTTTCTGCATACATACGGACAGGGGGAAGGTGCACGGGGGGGTGGAGGAAATATCATGAGCTCAGTTTTTGAAAGGTTGAGTTTTAAGAAATGTTGTGACATCCAGACTGATATGTCATTTAGTAGATTAGTGACACGCAAGGACACAGAGGGGGAGAGGTGTGGAGTGAAAAGATAAATTTGAGTGTCATCGGCATACATACAGATCATGCAATACGAGATGAAACATCGCCATAACTGAGTGTTGACCGACATGAATGAACAATCGTAAAGCTAAGCCACAATCAAGCCCTGCAGCGCTCGGGGGGTAGGGGTAGATATGAAATGGAATAGGGCCTAGACTGGAACATAATGCATACATATCAGGAACATATCAGGTTGTGAGAGAGAAAAAAAGGAGATTAACATAACAATATTGATAATAGTTTTCAGTACGTAAGAACCCTGGGTATGGACTCGAGCTTTGTCTTCGTCTTTCATATGTAACGCTGGACATAAAGGAACCGGTTCAAACGTTTTAAACAATGGGCCAGTTCACTGTCCTTCAGACATTGTTGGGGGCCGGATCATAGTCTTACCTCTCGACGGCAGTGTGCAGCTTTGGGAGAGGCAGGGAGATGACATCACGTCATATCCGAGCTCTCTTCTTATTGGCCACCCTCCAGGAGCCTGTGCTGGCATGCGCCCAAAGTTGGAGGGGTGCAACCGCACTGGCGTTACGCTGCTAAAAGAAGCCTGGCATTTGATTTGCCAGGCTCCCGTACGTCCTGTGCCTTTGCGTGCGCCCTGAGATGAAAGTGCGCAGCTGCACAGGCCGAACACAAAGCTGTCAGTCTTCCGGAATGTTTAAACCAAATTAACAGCGCTAGTAGGTGAATCAAAAAACCATATAATCGTGTTTGTGAACTACAAATCATAGAAAACCACATCAATGCAAGTGCCGTTACTCAATACAAAACACGGCACTGTAATAGTAAATGAACATGTGTATGATTGAGGTGATTTTTAACCAAGTGCTTCTAGGTGTTTCAGTGTGTAAAAATAAAGTGGATCAGTCTATACACATTAGAGTCCTTCACTTTTTTTACACCTACATGTGCATTAATAACATTAAGTGACAAATCATATGCGAGAAAAAAATTCAGGTGTGTAAACAAAAAATACAAACGAAAATAATTGTGAATGACAATTAATTGTGCTGACAAAAAATATATATAAACAGATAAAGTCTCTGTAATATACAGCTCCGCTTCAAAGCCAAATAGCAGAGCCTTCCAATGTTCGGTAGAGTAGTGCTTTCCTGGGGTTTGTATTAAGATCAATACATCCCCCTTAGCCCTCGTTCACACCTGAACGTTTTGTAGCGCGTTCTACGCTCGACGAACACTCTACAAAACGCTCAAAAATATAAATCCCATTGTATTCAATGGTCTCGTTCCCACCTTGGCGTATTTCCGCCCGTCCCTAACGCGCTACAAAACGGCCCACGCCTGAAAAGGTACAGGTACTACTTTGGGCCGTTTTGTTGCGCGTTTCCATTGGTATACAGCCTTCGGAAACGCTCGACGGTCGCGCAACTTTTTTACCGCGAATCGTGCGACAGACGCGCATATGCAATACGCCTAGGTGTGAATGAGACCTAATAGAGTGCGTACTCACCCCAAACTTTCGGCTGTAACAGACAGCCCCAAACGCTTTGTCTGATGGGACACCGTTACTGCTGCGTCTTTCGTATCTCGTTCTTTACCATCAGTCCTCAGTGTAAAGTATTCCCACAGTCATGCAAAGAAAAAAATCTTTCATCGGGTAATAGTTCCAGAAATAGTTTATTTAAAATTCAAAAATCACACTTGGCCGTTCCGAAAACAAACGTGTTTGATATGGTAGACCTGCCCCTACGCGTTTCGTCACCACCGACATCCTCAGGGGAATTACAGGTTTGTCTTCCCAAACGAAATCACAGTTTATATAGTGTACATCAAAGTGAATACAACAAGTGGCCACTAGATGTCTCACTAGCTCCACACAGTGGAATAGTTTCACATCTCTTCAAGCTAGATACAAATTAGACACAGATTAGATACAAAGTAAAAGGTGAAGAGTTATTAGTTCTCTCTCACTTGTAAAGGTGAGCCATCTCTATAGGCCAGTATCTATATCAATAATATCATATTCTTCATACATCCCAATACTATTGCATAATTTAATACATATTGATCTGACATAAAATTAGAAATTTAACAATGAAATGCCTAAAAGCACCTATAACACTATTATAAGAAACTAATATATAAAAAACTAGTATATAAAAAATCAGGTGTCCCGTCGCTAATTATGCTTTTAATTATTGACTTTAAAACCAATGTAAAATTATTTATTACTTAAAAAACCGTTCAAATCGAAATCGATATTTAGACCCTTGGGGGTCATCGTATCCAACGTAAAGATCCATTTCGATTCGTTCTGTGAAATTTTTCGAGTCAGGTTCGTTCCCCTCCAGTGGCTTTCAACCTTATCCATACCGATTATCTTCAGAAGTTTCGGATTTTTATTGTGGAACAACTTGAAATGTCGTGAGAGACTATGTTTAGTGAAGCCATTTTTTATATTATTTATATGCTTCTCTAGTCTCTTCTTGAGCATCCTCGTGGTCCTTCCTACATATATTGTAAGCCACATGGGCAGCTTAATAGGTATGTCTTCCGGAATGGCCTGTGTCTCTTCCCAGGCGGGGCCAGCGGAATGCCGATCTCTCCCCGAACGCCGCCGGCCCATTGATTAATTTATGTTGCTGCAGCTCCCTTAGCCCCTACTTTAATCCGGCCCTGATTTGGTCCACGGACTGTAGTTTGAGGACCCCTGCCCTAGACGGTTGTTTATATTTTACCGTTCTTGGTTTTATTCTTGGATAGAACATTCCCCATAGCTACGGGGTTAATGTAGGCTTAACAAAAAATATATCATTACATTTATTTGTCATTTTACAGGCTCTTCATGGAGATTCTGAACCAGTGCTCAGACGTGGATGAGATTCAGTTTCAGGAAGATGGGTCTTGGTGCCCTATGAGACCAAAGAAAGAGCCGCTGAGCTCCCCGAGCTCTCAGTATCCACACATTGAAGGTAAAGCTTTCTCTGAGAAACTATCACAATACAGGGGCTGGGATTCTGTGTGAGGCCTGTACACATCCGTCTAAATGAGCAAGTTCTCTTTCAGACAAACAAACGTAGAAATCACCAGCACTCCACTTTAAAGAATGAAGTGTTATTGCTTTATTAACACATCATGTCACATGCTTCATAGCCAACGTTTCGGGGGCCATGCAGGGTCCCTTGTTCAGGCCGACGTAGTGACCTGTCGCTATGTGACATTATGTGTTAATAAAGCAGTAGCACTCCACGCTTTGAAGTTGAGTGCTGGTGATTTCTATGTTTGCTGATCCTGTGGCACAGCGCCTTTTGTGCTATCATTTTGAGCACCACAACCACCAATGGAATAGGTCTCTGTTCACATGCTAAGATTAAAAAGTGCCTGCAAAAATACATTTTAATCTGCCCAGACTTTCAGTAATCTAGCATTAGTTCATTATTTTTGATGATAAAAATCGTATCTAGTTGATTGTACTAGGACTTGTATAGACGATATGTTTCGAGCCTTTAAAGTAAAGTAAGTTTTATAAAAATTGTATTTAAGTCCTCAGCAGCTATTGAAAGTCCTGTGTGTCTGCCTCATCCCTCACAGGGTCTGGCCTTCTCAGTAAGATGTACACCATAATAGAGCCCACCGAGACAAAAAGTAAAAAGAAGGCGGAGGTGATAGACCTGACCATCGAGAGCTCCTCAGAAGACGATGAGGAACCAGCAGCCAAAAAGAAATGTCTGTACATGCCGGAGACGCCTGCGCCTCAGACGAAAGGGTGGGCAGATTTAATGTAATATTTAATGCAACACTTTTGCAGAGTCTTGGAGGGTTTTTCTTTTTTATTCCTGGAGCAGGCAGAATTTGGAGCCGTTGCCCATGGCAATCAATCAGCTTCTATCTTTCATTTTCAAATTTAAACTGTATGGTTATGATTTCACTGCGCTACCGCATTAAAATTGTGCAGCCCATATTCATACAGTATGCAAATAAGAGCTTTGCTTCAGATTGGACTGTAGGCATACCCTCGATTCCATAATGTATTGTGGGATGCTAGGGAGGTGGCATGCTACAATTCCTAATTGTAAAGTGACACTAAACTCGGGAGTCAAACATTTAAAGAGAACTATGTGTTTTTCCCCATAGTTCTCTTAAGGGTCACGGGAGGACATATACTAGCGTCCTCCCGTGACCCAAAGCTCAGTATATCGTGAGCTACAGCTTGCGGTATACTGAGACCGCTGCATCCGGGACGGATCCCGACAATGCTGTCAAGATCCACCCAGCTGCGTGAGTGACAGCTTGCTCTGCCTATCTAGAGGCAGAGCCAGCTGTGCCCGCCCCCTTAACCGTCCGTTCCTCCAGTCAGCGCTGGAGGAGGGGAGGGGGGAATCCCCGCAGGGAGCTGTGATTGACAGTCACCGCTCTCTGCAGGGAGAAGATCAAAAAGTGAGCGAGCGGTGGTATGTGTTCACTTCCCGATCTACTGAGACGACCTGTGACCGTTTCATTGTCACACGTCGGCTGGAACTATGAGGATGAGTGATTTTCACTCACCTCATAGGTCTCCTTTTTTTAAAATGCATTCGAGTGCCATGGGGAGCAAAAGTAGCCACCCTCCGGAAGGAAGGACAGCGTCATCACCAATTCAGAGATGATTTGAGGATCTACAGCCGAGTGATACACAAATAAGTTTTTAATAGGGCACTTGAATGCACTTTAAGATTTAATAATAGAGTTCCAGTTGATGTCAGAGATTTGAGTCATGCAACTTCTTAAATGAGTTAACTTGTGTAAAATTAGACTTAGAATGTGCCTCCAGCTGTATTAGTTTGGAAAGGGCATTTTCCTTCAGTGAGCTAGTAAATGTGTATTTTTTTTTTTTTTTTTTTTAATCCTCTATGTATTGTATGTGTATCCTCTATGTGTATTGTATTGTCATTTTTTTTTTTTTTTTTAAAGAGTTCTAACGTATCATCCATCAACTATAAGAATGGGGAAGCTTGGTGGCCTGGAGACGGACTCGCTTCATTCCTCAATGGTGGATTATTCGGATCACTTCCACAACTCTGCTATCGCTGGACTTCCTGCAGACCTCTCAGGTATGTGATATGACTTCTGGGCTATATTCAAAGTTGAGCTCCAAACGGCTGACCATGCAGTTAAAATGCATATATGGGGGCTCTATATCTTCAGTAGCACATGAGACTGAGGCTCCATCCACCAGTACAGGAAAATCATCACCAAACAGCATGAAAATCTTTGAGTCTTGGTCACTTGTTTCCGGTGTCCTACGGGGAGCAGGAACCATGGTGTAAGGAAGCGCACATCTTTTATGTGGCCTTCACCATCTCCTTTTTCTTTTTGTGGGTCTCCATCTCGGTCTCCATCTTTGCAGGCAGGATGAGGTTTGGGCCAGCTTTTTGTGGGTCTGTCTTTGCCCCTAAGTCTCCATCTTTACAGGCAGGATGAGGTTTGGGCCAGCTTTTTATAGGTCTGTCTTTGCCCCTCGGTCTCCATCTTTACAGGCAGGATGAGGTTTGGGCCAGCTTTTTGTGGGTCCGTCTTTGCCCCCCGGTCTCCATCCTTACAGGCAGGATGAAGTTTGGGCCAGCTTTTTGTGGGTCCGTCTTTGCCCCTCAGTCTCCATCTTTACAGGCAGGATGAGGTTTGGGCCAGCTTTTTGTGGGTCCGTCTTTGCCCCCCGGTCTCCATCCTTACAGGCAGGATGAAGTTTGGGCCAGCTTTTTGTCTTTGCCCCTCAGTCTCCATCTTTACAGGCAGGATGAGGTTTGGCAATAAGTACTATCCTTGTTGCACTCCTTACCGATATGTCCCTTGTAGTGGGGGGTGCTCGCAGTGACAATGCTAAAGCCTGATGAAGGGACCCTGTGCGGTCCCAAAAACGCTTTTGCTATCTTAAAAGGATTGGTGTGCTGGTGACATTTCTACAATTTTTTTAGGATGAGGTTTGGGCCAGCTTTTTGTGGGCCCGTCTTTGCCCCCCCAGTCTCCATCTTTACAGGCAGGATGAGGTTTGGGCATGCTCCTCATTCGGTGCAGGTTAGTATTCACAGATGAACTTACAGTATATCCCTTGGTAGACCCGGCCTGGTATGGGTCGTCGTGTCTGTGGCGATGGGCTGGACTTAAGGGGGACTTCACCTACTCCTGGGGCAAATTTGTGAGTCTGTTGCTGACCCTTAATGGGGCATATGCTCCTGAATTTGCATGTGCCGGGCTGATGCCATGTGTCCTGCTGTTATTCACTTCTGTATAAGGTAATATTTCCAAGATATCCCGCTTTAGCACTAGCAGACAGCACACCTAGATTGTTCTCTGTAACAGACACTCAGGATTGTATACTGTAACATCTAATAAAATATAAAGAACAAGAGACACTCAGGAAAAATTATTTTTACTCGGTGAACTATTTTTATGTGAGTTTCACAGGTTTGCTATAAGCCATTTGTAACGCCTATAAGGACAGACGTATGCTAGAGCAGCTGGGAAGCGTCCCCATTTCATAAAGCTAAATACACAAATACAATACCTGTACGGCAATGGCCAAAGGATTTGTATTTCTGCCCAACCAGATTTATGATTTACACAGCCCACTGGTGAAGCCAAGTGGATGACACAACTTACTCTGTTAGTTATAACTGTAGAAGGGATACAGGAAAAGAGATGGGGTCCTATCCCCACCCCAAGCCTGCTGATTGGACAGTGGAGGAGCAGCCACAGACTGATGAGCTCATTCCTCTGTTCACTCCGTTGTCATGTTCCTTGTCAGCACATTGACATACAGCACACACACCCCCCAGCCAGTCATAGTACTGCTGCACAGGGGATGGCAAGCAGCTGATTCCAAGTCAAATTTAAATGTATATTCAATGAACACTAAACTAGATTATTGTGTGTCTCCTATATCTGCCTCAGCTGCAAGATTCTTACACCGCGGCCGCACTTCTAGTTTTAAATAAGTCCTGAAATCACAGGGCCTGTCTTATAGTAATATTCATGTTTGTTCTGATTGTTATAACGTATTTGTACTTTACAGTGACAGACAAAACTTGAATGACCCTTTGTCCATCTTTCTGCAGATTTGGACTTTCTCCCAATAGCTCCGGCTCCTTCTCAGGTAAGTTCCACTTCTTCCTCCTCAAATGTTTGTTTTTCTCCCTTTCTGGAAATAGATTATAAAGCGATCACAGACATTTCTTTCCTCAGTAGAACGATCTGATTGATCTAGTGAATAGTTGGCACTGACACCAGAACTAATCTAGCCAATCATACAAGAGCTCCCTGTCCTTGTTGTGCTTTATGGCTGCACAGTATATGGAGGAAGAACATGCGTTTCATAGCCTGCAGTGGGGAAATCCAGCCATGCAAAGCTGTCCACACCTTTAGTAGTTTGTAGGGATGCACCGATACCACATTTTCGGTTCCAAGTACCCATTTTTTTCCCCGGTGCTCGACGATAGAGTACCGGTGCCTTGTGCCCAGATTATCAAGATGTCGCCCGGCTTCCTGATTGCCTGTGACGCCGGTGTTCTAGCAAGAAAACACCGGCTTTATATGCCGAGGCTGCCTGGCTTCCTGACCAATCAGGAAGCCGGGCAGCAAGTAATGAGGTGCCGTCTGGCTTGCTGATTGTTCAGGATGCCTGGCTGCTTAGCAACAAGTAAAGCCGGCTTCCTAGCCAATCAGGAAGCCGGGAGGTTGGCCATGGCCCTCCATGCTCCCTCGGCACTTGCCAGTATTGGAACATTTGGGGCGAGTATGAGTACTCGCCCAAATACTCGGCATCAATACTAGTATCGGTGTATCCCTAGTAGTTTGGATAGCCAGCTTCACAATGTTATGACAAGTTTTACACTTTATTGTATTCAAGTGCAGTTAAAAAAAAAAAAAAAAAACAACAATTTTTTGAGGATTTAGAGCAATAGGAAGGCAAACGGAGCGCTGGGGTCTTGGGACATGATGTATTAAAAATGGCAAGACCTTCATAAAGTTCGCTCTCTTGGCTTTTCTGACTGACGGAGGTAATAGCAGACCCCTTGTTAGCCATTTAAACTTGAAAATGAAACTCCTATCTGACAAGTTTCCTTTTTAAAGTAAACCTTTCCTTAGGGATACGAGGGCTGCCACTGCTGACGGCCTCCTTACAATACCTTCCAAGTCCCTGAATTGGAACAAATCTCCTCTGCATACTACTTCTGGGCTGGTGGCATAAAGTATTGGAGCCAGAAAGCTTTTATTTGCAGAATGAGAAGCTGGCAATGATTTGCAGCTTCTGTGATTCACTCAAGGATGGTTCTTCCTTTTAGGTTTTATATAAAGGGAACTGATCATTAAAGGAGAACTATAAGGCGAGTGAAAATCACCCATCCTCATAGTTCTAGCCGATGTGTGACAATGAAACTGTCACACGTCGGCTCAGTAGATCGGGAAGTGAGCGAACACATACCGTCGCTCGCTCACTTCTCAATCATCTCCCTGCAGTGATTCCTCCCTTCTCCGATCCTCCAGTGCTGAGTGGAGGAACAGATGGGGGAGGGGGCGGGTACAGTTGGCTCTGCCTCTAGATAGGCAGAGCCAGCTGTCACTCACGCAGCTGGATGGATCTCGACAGTAATGTTGGGATCCGTCCCGGCAGCGAAAACTATGAGGCGAGTGAAAATCACCCATCCTCATAGTTCTAGCCTACGTGTGACAATGAAACTGTCACACGTCGGCTCAGTAGATCGGGAAGTGAGCGAACACATACCGTCGCTCGCTCACTTCTCAATCATCTCCCTGCAGTGATTCCTCCCTTCTCCGATCCTCCAGTGCTGAGTGGAGGAACAGATGGGGGAGGGGGCGGGTACAGTTGGCTCTGCCTCTAGATAGGCAGAGCCAGCTGTCACTCACGCAGCTGGATGGATCTCGACAGTAATGTTGGGATCCGTCCCGGCAGCGGCGGTCTTAGTATATCGCGAGCTGTAGCTATATACAGAGCTTTGGGTCACAGGAGGACGCTAGTATATGTCCTCCCGTGACCCTTAGCCCCCGTTCACATTGCGCGATTTGCATTTTGCGCGATGTCGCGCAAATGCTTGCATTGAGCAAGCGAGAATCGCGGCAAAATCCGCTCCAAAAAGGGTCCTGCTGTAGCGACACACGACCCGCGACAGCAGGACCCTTTGCCCCATTGAGAAGCATTGAAGAGCGATATACCGCGCGATAAATCGCTCAATCTGAACGGGGCCTTAGCACTATGGGGAAAAACACTGACCCCCATAGTTCTCTTTTTTTAATGTTTGACTCCCGAGTTTAGTGTCACTTTACTATTAGGAATTGAAGCATGCCATCCCTAGCATCCCACAATCCTACCCCATAGTTCTCTTTTGTGCCATTTAAATATCCACATGGAACATTCCGTTGGATCATTTGATGGGTACCTGTAGCTTTACTATACTTGAAGAAGTTTGCACATTGTTCTGATCTACTAAGAGGCTGATAAGAACCCTTTTATGTGACTGTAGCCCCAGATCAGATCTACAAAACAAATGGACAGATCCATCAAAAGCCATTGACCTCAGGCACATTTGTGTGGCCGTATTCCACCGTTTGCCCAATGACACTCTATCCGTTGCCCGTTGGCCCCCAGTAGTCTTCAACATTGCAGAATGCTGACGTTTTGAAGCTAAAATTGGAGTTGACCTCTTGCCGAAATGCAGCAGTCACCAAATGTTTCCAGAAGCAACTCTAAAGTATAAACCTCCCCCCGGAGAAAGACATCCCTACTAGATCTCTGTTTAAAATTGCTATTACTTTTATCTTTGAGACTGTTGATTTTGCTATATCGTACGGCTGCCTTTTTGTTCTGTGATGGTAGGTGGAGTGTAATACTATCGCCATGACAATGTTTCATTCTTATTAGTACCATTTATTTCAAGCAGTACTATCACCCTATGTTTTTGGATAGTCTCAAGTCGGCTCTCCAAGCCAAGTCCACTCATGGCAAAGCCAAAACCTCGAACAGCCACCTTGAGGAGCACGCCAGCGACGGGTCAGGTGAGAGGAACATCATTCAGGGGCCGAAGCACCTCTGAGCAGACCCAGCCCGCCTCCATGCCACCAAAAAACACTCGTTATTTATTGGTTTGTGTCCAGAAAAGGACTTCAGAAGAGCGATCTCTATATATTTATTGTCCGGTGCCTGGAGCCAGCACGGTTCGGTTAGCATTAAATCTGCGTGGATTCCTCCACCAGTGGTTTTGGTTTGATGCGAGTTGCACATATTTGGGTTATGTAAATATCTTGCATTATATAGAAGTTCCGTGTAAATAAGTATTTTTTTTTAAATAAACCTCCCAAAAACCTGTCTCAAGCCTCAATATGTCTGTGAAGGCTCTCACTCATGGTCATGGTATATCTGTAAAAAAAAATAAGTCAAGGCAACTGGACTGGCTGTATTTTTCTTGAAGACGTTTCACTTGTCATCCAACCAGCTTCCTCAATTCAGAATTGAGAAAGCTGGTCGAACGACTTCAAGAAAAATACAGCAAGTCCAGTTGCCTTGACTTATTTTTTTACAGATGTCTGGAGCCTCCACCTTCTGTGCAAGAATGACGTGTTTTATAAATTACAATTGTTTGTCATTGATCTGTACTACCACAAATCATGTGACCTGAACCTGCCAATACCAAATCACTTCTTCTTTTCCATTGACCCAATATGCATCTGCACCAGAATGACTGACTTATTGTAGCATGAATTAGTTTTTTTGTTCCTTTTACACTTTTTTATATTTTCTGCCCAGCCATGTTCTCATTTTAACCCCTTCATGACCGAGTCCTTTTTTTTCCTTTGTTTTACCTGATATAATCCACATTTTAGTCTTATAATAGTGGCCAGCAGGAGGAATCACAGGGCAACAAGGGTCAAATTCTGTAGATTCCTCAGACGTGTTCTCTTTAGTATAATGGAAGCGGTAATAACTATCTTCTTTTGTAGAGGACATTATTCTGCATTTTCATTTCAGCTAGAGTCAATGGAAGAAGTTACAGGGTTATTCACAGAAGGGTGAAGAGTTTTGGAGACGGGAGATAAGGGAACAATCTAGGACAACATAGAACTGGAAAAAGCCTCAGATTCAGCTCACTTTCCGGTTCAGCTATGTTGTCCTAGATCAGGGGTGCCCAAAAGGTCGATCGCAAAGCTATTTCTGGTAGATCGCAAGTTGGAATCGGCTGATCCGTTTATCTGGGAACTCAGCTGCTGGTGGCCGGGTGCAGTTTGCTGTGTTGGCCAGCAGGTGGCGCTGTGTCCTGGCACAGCCGCTGACACCGGAAACCATGGCTCAGCATGCAGCTACTATGGGGGAATCTGAGAGCTGATCCCTTGGGGGACACAAATCATACACAGGCCTGGGCAGGGTGAGTGGTGGTCTTTATCAGAGGGAGGGGGCATTGTGTACCTCAGCCTCTGTTATCTCTACCCACTGTACACAGCTGTGTACCCCACCTAACAGACCGTGCTCCCACCTAACAGGATTGTGCCCTCACTTACAGACTGAGATTAGGAGCGTTTTTATTTATAGGTAATAGGTTTTATTTTACCATTACGGGTAATAGTCCCATAGTTTACCTCCTCTGATAAGTGCTAGGTCTAACTAAGGGTCCATTCATAATAGTACAGTGCGTTCATCGCAATCACACCTACCCTGTGTTTTATTGTAGGCGGTGCGTTGCCATTCGTTGGTAGATCTCATTGAGCTGGTCATATAAAAAGTAGATCTTAACACAAAAGATTGTGGGCGCCCCTGACTTAGATTGTTCACTTCTCCAAACTCTTCACCAGGGGTAGCCAAACTCTGCCCCTCCAGCTGGGGTGAAACTACAAATCCCATGATGCATTTCTCTCCGGGAGTCATGGCTGTGGAATCTTGCATTGCCTCATGGGATTTGTAGTTCCACCACAACTGGAGGGCTGGAGTTTGGCTACCCCTGTTCTCTCTCCCCCTTCAATGAATAACCCTGAAGAATACCAACATCAGGTAGCCTGCTGTCCTACAATTCCCAGGAAACCAGGTAGGCCGCATTCCCTGTATTCATGTCACTTGCTGGTCAAGGTTATGAAGATGTGCCTTATAGTAAAGGTTGTGCAAGCGCTTTTGTTTTCCAAGTTATAAACCTGTATGCAAGATTTCAAGTGAGCCAATATCTGTATAAGGTAACCGTGGAAGGGGACATCCCCTACTCAGTCAGTTTTTGCTACCATGACCCTTCCCAATAGAAAGATCAGAGATATAACCGGTGAATGGCTTCATTTGGACATAGAGAAACTTGATTTTTTTGTACGCGCCATGAAATCCCTTTCTTAGATTCCATTAAGGGATACAAAAAGCTGAATACTATCGGGTTATACTGCAGCTTACAGGAGATGTAATCTCTGGGGGGGAGGAAACATCTGCAGCCCAGAATGAGCCCTCCTCTATGCAGAATGTCTTAGTTTGTGGCACTCAGTACCAAGAGCATGACCATAAACCCAGAGGGTAGAACCTGTGCCTCTTAGTGGACTCCAAAAGAAGGATCTTACAAAAATCATTTTTCTCATCCATTGAGGGACTGGAGAAGTCATATGCTGTCAGGATGTCGAAAACAAGTCCAGCTGAGGGGTGGGCAACCGTGACAAATGCTGTTGCCCACTCCGGCTGTAGACCAAAAGCTGCCTACAGGATTAGCATCTAAATCTGATACTGGATGGCCAAAGCCCCTACCTAATAGGGGAAACATGCCCACAGGGAGGGTATGGGGAATAACCCCGATGCTCAAGACCAAGTATAATTTGGTCAGCACCAGGGAGCAATGACTTAACATGGACGGGAACACTGAACCAGTGAGAAGCTGGCCACTTCAACCCCCCAAGAGGTGGAACAATAACAAATTCCCATTTATTGAAGGAATAAAACCAACCAACATGGTAAAAAAAAGGGAACGAGAGTCCCTAGTAAAACCACTTTCTATTTGCCTGATGAAGGGACCTCTTTGGTTCCGAAACGTTGCATCATTTAGTCAATAAATAGATTGACTGGAAGCTACATTGGAGTGCAAGTGACTTTTTTGGTTTATCATTACCTGGTAAAACCAAGGGCCTTAAGAAGACAAAAAGTGGGGGGGCATGTCCTGCACATGGCGGAATAAGTCGCATAGCGTGAGAGCTCCGTGGTGCCGATACCTTACAGACGACATAACACGACTTATACCACTCTTTTTGGACTCACCTGACGATGTCGAAGCGCAGGAAAGAGGGGGGACTCCCCTCGCAAAGGGACACCCCGTCCTTACAGCGGTATTTCTCCTCCACGAGGACCGGGACCCGCAGCCGCGACCAATCCAACATGGCGGCGGAAGGCGAACCGCCATCCACGCCTCGAGGCTCTACCAGGTCCCTCTCCCCGGCTCGCGGTGGAAGACCATCAGGCGTGCGGTCACCCCGGCTGTATGACTCTGACTCTACGGACGCGGATCTAGACCAGCCCCATGGCCAACCAACGGATGTACCGCGAGAATTCCGGGCGCTCCTGAAATATCTCCCCACGAAGGAAGACTTTGCGGCCATGGTCACACGGGTGGAGGCCGCGCTTCAACGGGACCTACATCACGTCCGCAAGGAGGTAAAGGCGGTGTCCGCGGAGGTCTCCTCGGTCACGGAATCCGGTAAGATCCCTCCACTCCGCCTGTCGGTCCTTCGACGGCCAAAATTGGCAGGGGGCCTGGGCCTTCCTGACCTTCCTGCGGCTCTCCCTGAAGTCATCCATATGTAACAAATATCAGGAATCGGGTTACAAAATCCTAACCCGTTGGTACAGAACTCCACATAGACTTCACCTGATGTATGCCGGGGTACCGGATGTTTGCTGGCGGTGCGCCTCCTCTCCCGCGGACATGCTCTATATTTTCTGGGCGTGCCCGAAGCTGACGCCATTTTGGTCTCGGGTCCGGCAGATAGCCCAGAAATTTACGGACCACCGTATCCCGGAGGACCCAGTGTTCTTCCTCCTACACCATAACTCATTCCCACTAAAGGGGTACTCCAGATCGGTGCTGGTACACTTGCTGAATGCGGCATGCGCATGTATCCCCAACCTTTGGAAACAGGAGGCCCCACCTTCGATACGGCTCTGGTTTACCAAGGTGAACGACATTAGAACCATGGAGGACCTAACTAGCTCTATTAGGGGTACCTCCGGCAAATTCGCGACCGCCTGTTTTTACTGGGACGAATTTACCGCTATGACCGAATACCAAACCATCATGGCCTCATGAGGAAAGCAGTCGCGACCCCAGCTGGCTCCCCCCCTCCTTCTTCCCCTCCTTTCTTCCCCAATCCCCTTGTCCACCTATTTTAGACGTCCCTACCTCTCCCCACCCTCCCCCCCTACCTACATCAGAGTTCACTACAGCAACAACCTGGATGCCCTACCATGTGGGGCAGATCTTGTACTGTCACTAGGACCACCCAGAGTCCGTGAGCGATAACAATGCATGTTCCCTAACAACTGGTCGGCTCTGAGTGGATACGAGGGCTCGACGTACGATCAATAAGCGCCCTGGTATAATTGCTATAAGTGTACAATACTATAGTCATTACCCGCTATATTCCTGCTGTGACATGATGTAATCCTTTCTCCCTTGATTACTGTTTCTTTTTTTTGTTATATAAATGAAACTTCAATAAAGAATTTATAAAAAAGACAAAGTCCTTGTAATGGCAAAATCTGTAGGAGTAGGAAGGCAATGAGCCTCTAATCAGCTGACTCCATAAGGCTCAGAAAACGAGAACTCCAAACTGAGAGAGGTTGCTGGAACAGACATTCACCTCACCAGAGAGAACCCTGAAGTAGACCAGACACAACAACCTGCAGAGGGTGGGAAGGGGACTCCCAAGTCTAACATATGCCAAGATTCAATCCCACAAAGTCAGCATGACTGAAAGAAGGAGCAAGGACCAAAACACCCCAAAAAGGGTAGGCAGAAATGAAGTGTAGGACCCTTATGATACGGGTTACAACCCAGAGAGAACCGAGGAATAAGCTAGAAACACTAACCAGTACACAAGAAGCACCTTTGGGGTGAGCCCGAAGAGGAATCCTGAAGAAGTCGGACAGTATTGTGGAAAAACAGTATTAGGAGTGGATCACAAAGACTGTTCCCTAATGGGCTCCATGAAAGGGCTTTTACAGTAAGTACAAAAACGCTGTTGTCTTTTAATTCATTTGGGACAACGGGGATAATTCTCAACATCCAGAAGTAGTCCCAACTGAGGGACAGCCAACACCGCAAATGAAAGGTTTACAACTAGGGCAGCTTGCAGCTCAAAATTCTGCCTGGACCTTCCATTTAAAGGAGAACTATGAGGTAAGTGTTTTTCCACATAGTTCTCCTAAGGGTCACGGGAGGACATATACTAACCTCCTCCCGTCACCCAAAGCTCAGTATACCGCGAGCTGCAGCCCGCAGTATACTGAGACCGCCGGGACGGATCCCAGCATTACTGTCGAGATCCGCCCAGCTGCGTGATTGATGGCTGGCTCTGCCTATCTAGAGGCAGATCCAGCTGTACCCGCCCCCTCCCCACCTTTTCCGCCAGTCAGCGCTGGAGGATCGGGGATCCCTGCAGGGAGTCGTGAGTGACAGTCATGGCTCTCTGCAGGGACAGGATTGAGAAGTGAGTGAGCGATGGTATGTGTTCACTCACTTCCCGATCTATTGAACCGGCGTGTGACAGTTTCATTGTCGCAGGTCGGCTCAAACTATGAGGCTGAGTGAAAATCACCCACCTTTAAAGTTTTCCTTTAAAGATGATATCAAGAGGCCAGAACATCCACCTTCACAGGAAAAGGCGGAATCTTGTCCTAAAGCCCATGGCCTTGAATAATGAGCTGTTCTGAGCCACCTTGCAATAGTGGAACATGCGCTGGCTGTTCCTTACAAGGACCCTCGAGGTCATTGCAGGGAGATAAAACTTGCACCACATTCATGAAGGGATATCTCCTTAGGATGTAATGAGACAGGACAGAGAGAGAGATGGAAGCCTAATGTCCTGGGTTAAGGTGAAAGGAAGACAACCTTGTCACTGTAGGTTCCTGGCAAGAGAAGGGCATGAACTCCAAAACTCTCCTCACAGAAGTTATGGCAGCAAGGACGGCTACCTTCTGAAAGTAGACAGAGGGGTCACCACGATCGGTTCAATAAGGTGATTTTTGAAGGACCACCAAAACTAGGTTGAAATCCAAGAGAGTCACAGGAGGACGTAGAGCTGGAACTTTGTGAGCGGCACCCTGTACAATGGCTTTCACAGGGAAATGTGGTAAAAGAATTGTGAGGGTTCATTCGCACCATAGGGCAGTGCGTTCCAGTCATAATCGGACCGGAACGCACTGCCCGCATTGCGGCCGGCTCATTTTTTTGGCCGGGCTGGAGGGGGCGTGGCGGTCCATTGAAGTGAATGGCACCGTAGCCACGCCCTGCGGCCTCAATGCGATCGCCCGCAAGGGACACTGTGTCTGCAGTGCGACCAAAATAGTGCTTGCAGCATTTTGATTGCACCGCACTGCAGGCACAAGGTGCCTTGCAATCTCGTGCAGGCATCCGCATTGCGGCCGCAGGGCGTGGCTACAGTGCCATTCACCTCAATGGCCGGCCATGGGCCCTTCAGCCTGGCAAAAAAGTGAGCCAGCCGCAATGCGGGCAGTGCGTTCGAGTCCGATTATGACCAGAACGCACTGCCCTATGGTGTGAATGAACCCAGAGGGACAAGATCAAACGAAGACGATGCCTTTAGATCCACAATTGGGCAAATGCCCCGTTTTGGCGCAGGAACAGTGAATAGGTTTCAGTTGAATCTCTGAAACCACGGCTATGACTCCCCAATTGCGAGGACTTGCTCACAATCCTAGATTCAGTAGCAGGGGTGTAGGATTTCAGTAGGGCCATGGAATCGCACATACTCCTTTTCCCCGAAAATAAGACCTAGTTGTGACCATTCCGAGGGCGAGTGGTGGCATAAGGGGGAACCTGAAGAGAGGCGGGAGTGCCAACGAAGCCAGCCCTAGACGAAGCGAGGCGGCACCAGAGGGAGCAGAGCCGTATAAGCCGATGCTTCCTCTATAGCGCCGACTACTGTCACAGGCGGAGTGATACCAAATGCACTCCGCCTGTGAGGAATCCATAGTGAAAGTTCTCTTCACTCATTCTGGCCAGCGATTGGTTAGCAAATTGCTCTTGGAAAGGTACAGCACCCCTGATCACCCTATTTTTGTACATTAATACATGTAGACTTTTCTACATGAATAAGTGTGGATTGTTGTACATTAAAAAAATAAGACCGTGTTTGAGCCAAAAAAAATATTTTCATGGAAACACGGTACTTCATAGGAGGTGCGGTGCACGCACAGTAAAAGCAACACAATGAGGGCGTTACACAGACAGTTGAATTTATTCACACCAATGCTCCGTGACACATTGAGTTTTGGGGCAGAAACACCCACAGGGGCACAGCTGGAGACAGTAACACAATAAGCACACACCGTGCCATGATCTAACCTTCCTTGGCTGACCTGCAGGGGGCCCTAACCCCAGGTGGACAGGTCCCACAGAGCTCTTACAAAATGTTCCGTCCTAAAGGACACCCGAAGCAGGATAGAAGCTTGTTCCACCTTCAGACAGCCCAGAGACAGAGGGCCCTCTTCAGACATCCTTCACCAGCAACACAGCATCTGAGATGCACCTTGAATGGCATGTGAATCTTTCCATGTCCAGAAGCTATTAGGAGATCGCTCCTTAGAGAAATCATCATAAGTGGGACCAAGTCCCACGGTACCATCCACAACCAGAACCTACCTCTCCTGATCGAGCATGGCTCCCATACCTTGTTGGTGAAGACAGCAGTACCTACCGGTATCCAGTACCGACCTAACCAGAAAGATATCCTGTGATGAAGGAAGCACCTGGCGTAGAAATCCAAACGCAAAGCCCCGGAGATCATCATTTTGCAATAAGGAATCCTTTGAAAATAAGAAGCCCTTGCCCAGGGTCAGATGGGAGAGTTGAGTGATCAGGCCAGCAAATGCCTGATCCTTAGAGGCAGGCACACAAGACAGCCAAGGAACAAGCCGAAAAAATTAAAAGGGCTGGGAGGTGGGAGAAAGGGAAGTGCAGTCAAGCAGACTTCAACACCCCCTACTCCTGCAGAAGAGCACAAGGGCAGGCAATTCCATCTGACAAGGGGGGGGGGGTGCAGGGCAACCATGCTGTGGGTCCCTCTTCAGTGCAAGAGTTATCATGTACAACTGAGGGGCAATTTCCAAGCAAGCCCTGGCCACATATCCTTTCAAAAAGGTCATCTGCCTGGGCCCAACAGTGACTGCTTTCTTTAAAAGTGGGGGGAGTTGGGATGTCCCAAAACAGACTTTAGGCACCCAGGCCCTGAGAAGTACCAGGTGTGCAGGGAAGACCATGAGGATTCAACACCGTTAGTGCCCCAGATATCAAGGGTAAAATATTGTGTGTATCTTCCTGCACTCCTTACCGGATTTCCTAGGAGATGATGTCTGTAATAGGGTGCTTGTAGTGACCACGGAGGCACCGTGTAGTCAAGATGTCAAGGGTAGGCCCAAAAACTGCACCCCTCAAAGACCCAAGTGAGGCAAGTGCTCCCTGGATACAGCATCTGCCTTCCAGCACTGTTGCCAGAGTACATTGCACACCTGTATATAAAACAGACCAACATCTATATCCAGGGTGTAACATGGTGACATCACCTCAATCTGGAAACATCAGAGCGGGGGGGGTAGGTCTTCCCACAGGCTCTTGAATCTGATGAAGCTCCACCCACGTCAGATGCTTTGACAGGAATGTCAATAGCGAAACTACAAATCTTGTCTGCCATCATAAGTGTGCCGACATTTCTTCCCGTTACTGAAGGACTGTACTGGGATGGCTGGAAGTGTGCAGGCGCCAGAGTATTGCAGCCATAATACACAAGATGGTGGTCGCAATACTTTTATGGCTCCAGTGCAAAAAAAATTTAAGTGCATTTTTTTCCCTTTCGGTGGCCTCATCCTGTACTGGCCTCGTGGTTTCCCTGTGAAGGGGAGTCGCAGGTCAACCCACTGTACATGTATAGACCGTTTCAACAAACTCACTCAATAAAAGGGAAGAGTCCAGGACCCTTCAGGTCCTCATAACAGGAAAACCTTGAATAGTGGGAAGGTCTCTGCAGCTGTAGGAGACGGCAGGCCGCTCTTCCAGACGCATGGTATGTACTGTACAGCGCATCAGGTACATTCCAAAACTGCAAGAGCAGAGGCTGCGTTTCATCTAGACAATTGTACCGCTGCCATTCTGTACATTTGTATTCAACTCTGATTTACGCTGCAAAGTCCTAATTGTGAAGATTAGACATTTGGAATACTAAAGTAAATTGTATCCTTGGAGTAATCTCATCTGAAGTCTTGGGTTAGCACACCATGCACATAGAATACAGTAAATATTGGAATATTGAGCACAATTACATAGGGGAGGAGGGAAAGTCTCCTAGGCTACAACAGTTGTCAGAAGGTCTGGTGGGAAGGACAGGTGTCATACAGGGAATGGCGGAGAATTGAAGAGCGGCATTGTTTTTCAGCAAGTAGACCAGGTGAGGCCACAAGTACACCGCGGCCACCACCATAGCAGAGCAAGAACTGGCCGAGTCTACTTTTGAACTCCGGGGGCCATAAGCTGGCTACTGCTCTGCATTATAGAAGTCAGAATGTCAGGCAAGTGAAATTAAACTATACATTTTCTTTGTCATTTGCCAGATTTACTGCTTTGTGCTTTTCAGCAAAGACGCAGAACAAAAGAAATGGAAAAAACCTCAAAAACACATTTACATCTTTTATTGATTTTTAATTTTTTCATCTTGTTTTCCTGGGCAAACATGTGCGTGGTGTTGGATCAGCAGGGACAAACACTGCCGGTGTAGTGAGCTTGGTTTGATGAGAATGGCAACCCTGTTGTTACAATTTATCTAAGTAGTTGTCCAGGGCTGGGACTCCCTCCTTCAATCCTTTACGTTTTCGGGTTTCAGCAACCACTTGGCATGGGCGAGTGTTGGGCTCGAAGGGATCTCCAGGAAGGATCTGCCAATGGTCAAACACGCACTGAGGGAAGGCCTGACCGCCTGTGTTAGACCTGAGATCAGCAGTGAAGCCTGTTGGGGGGGAGAGAGAAGAAAGAAAGTCAACATTACGGAGACACAAGGGCAAAACTGTATATCGGAGGAGGGGGGCGGCCTTACAGCCTGGCACTTTAGACCGGCAGAGCATACACGTTCATAAAAAAAAAATCTGCGCTAGTATATCAAGTTATATTTGAAATGGGAGGAGACTACTAAAGCTTATTTTCTTCAACACGGTCCATCAATCACCGTAAAGATGAGCAGAAACCAAAGTGTAGCACGTACCGAATGATTCGTTGACGGGAAGATAGGCTTTCACAACAAACATGGGGGTTCCGGCCACTTGGGACTCCTCAAAGACGTGTCCACGCTTCCTGTTCAGCACACCATAGATGCCACCGACAACCTGCTCTGGACACTGGACAAAGGAGAGAACGCTTAGTTACCACAAACATTCACCTTCCACATACAAAAAGATATTGAACAGATTTTCTGAACTCATGTACTGTGCCAAGGATCACATGCACACATCCGTGCCAAGCCCACCACCCCTAGCTATGGCTGCATCAAGTTCCACCATCTAATGTTCTTCCTTTGTAATAAATGCTCGTTTGCATGACTTCCCGATTCCCCAGCACAGCTCTGATGTACAGGCCAAGACGCTGCCATACCCCAGCACAGCTCTGATGTACAGGCCAAGACGCTGCCATACCCCAGCACAGCTCTGATGTACAGGCCAAGACGCTGCCATACCCCAGCACAGCTCTGATGTACAGGCCAAGACGCTGCCACTAGAATGAAGCATCAAGAACTAGTCTGGCAGAAGCAATATACAACTGATGTACAGGCCAAGACGCTGCCATACCCCAGCACAGCTCTGATGTACAGGCCAAGACGCTGCCACTAGAATGAAGCATCAAGAACTAGTCTGGCAGAAGCAATATACTTCAAAGCAGACAAGCTGAGAAAGTAGGATTTGCCTTTTGTTCTGTAATCAGGATTTTACCAGGTTATGGAAGAGATACTGAAGCCAGTACTGGACCCCCTAAGGCTCCATACAACTAATCTCCATCCTCTTTCCAGGCTACTACAGAAGCTGTAAAGAAATCAGGCTGAAGGGTTTGAAGACACTTCAGTGAAACCTGAAAACTCTCAGCCCAATCTACAGCCATCATGGGGACCAGCAGACATGGAAAGGTTCAGTAGGCCGATCCATCAATGAGCGACACAGAGCAGCCCCCTATCACTGGTGTACTTCTGTACACATCACCAAGTTCTTCATATGGGAAGACCCTGACCGGCTCCCCTCTAGGAATAACATGTTATAATCAGGAGATTTTAGTGGAAAGTTGTTCTCTTACCTGGATCTCCACCAAGTAGATGGGCTCCATCAGCCTGGGCTGGGCAGTGAGGGCAGCAGCATAGAGGACTCTTCTTGCCGTTGGGATGATCTGTCCACCTCCACGATGAATGGCATCAGCATGCAGAGTGACGTCATGAATGTCAAACCTGGCTCCTCGCATGTTCTCTTCACACAGGACTCCCTGCACACAGACATGAACACATCAAGACCTAAAGCAGACCGCGGCGTTGTGTCACATTCAGCTTATCATGTGCCATGCGTATGCCTGGGATTATTCAAAGATAAAACTTCCTAAAGTCATTCCTGACTACAGGATCTAATGACTCCTACAGACAACATGCTTTACAATCAAGTTTTAGTACTACAGAGGATAGTAGGCAATTGTTCATTTTCCTGTAGATATGAGATCTCATTGAGGTACTGGACACCTTTGGTGACGTCAACCAGCATGTTGGGTCCTGTTCCATCAGGTCCGAAGCACCAGATCTTCCTGGCTTCTGTCACGTCCCATTCATACTTCTCTGCCAGGTAACGGGCACGCAGCTTCATGTCCTGTCGGGCAGCAATGTCTCCTTTGTCAATGTCTTCAGACAGACCATCTTGGAACGGCCGGGCTCTCATGTACAGACGGTTGTGCTTGTTGGGAGACTTGGAAAGGCAGAGCTGGAAGGACTCTTCGCTTACAGTCTCACGGTATGAGACAACAGGGTCAGATTTCTGTAACCAAGAAACACAAAAAGGTCGATTATAGGTTCTGGTACATGAGAATATGTCAGTGCTAAAGGATCCACATGTGGTGGTGAGCAGAGTCTCAAAGCAGATTTCTGCTCGGATACAATACAAGAGATAATGGGCAGACGACACGTCTTCACCAATTAAAACAGATTTAGGATAAAATCAGCAGTCATCGCATTGCCCCGCACACCAATGTCCACAGACGCGGCGCCCTCAGTGTGAAGAGACAGCTCTGGCCTTAAGAGAGAAAATAGTCCAACCTTTTATAGATGTGGGGTGCAGCTCTCTTATGAATGGAGGTAAACAAGGTCACAATTGATAACCTCCACATGACCAGAAAGAAGCATCTCAAGCTGGCCATAGACTGTCCAACCCCACTCCAGATTTATTGCTAGGAAGTTTAGGGTTGAACTTACAGCCCCCCCCCCGAGTACTGCCAATGTTGCTTATACATCGGCACTAGACAGGTAGAGGTTTGTTTTCAGACATGTGCTCATCTCTAGTCACCCTTACTACACAGGGTACACATTGGTCTCTTACCTTGATGGGAATACAGGCATGGTCCTCTTCCAGATCTTTAAGGCAGATTTCCAGATGAAGCTCACCAGCTCCAGCAATGATGTGTTCTCCAGACTCTTCAATTATACACTATGGAGACCAAAAAGTGATTTGATATGATTTCAAAAATCTATGAAGTAATCAAATGCATGCAATAGGGTGACAAAAAAAAAACCACAGACACTGGAAACTCGGGAGCACCATCCACACCGCCACCAGAGGCAGGACAGGTGACAACGGTTTAAAGTCACAGCACAGCAAAAGATTCCCTTAAAGGTCTGTCTTACCTGCACCATAGGATCGGACTTGGCCAGACGTTTCAGACCTTCAACCAGTTTTGGGAGGTCAGCTGGGTTTTTCGCCTCCACAGCCACACGGACGACAGGGCTGACACTGAACTTCATGACACGCATGTTGTGAGCATGTTCAAAGGTGCTGATGGTTCCGGTCTTAATCAAGAACTGGTCAACACCGACCAGACCAACGATGTTACCGCAAGGGACATCCTCAATGGGCTCAACATAACGACCCATCATGAGGATGGTCCTGTGGATTAAGAATGTACATAATGCTGAGACCATACACAAAATGTGCCAGACCAACCAAATTATTAACCCGACATTCTCCAGACTTCTAGCAAACAGATCCAACATTGTCCTATTAAAGGGAATCTGCAGCCAACCAGCAGGTGATGCAGTCTAGATAGCAGAAGCTGCTGTTCACTTTGAGCTGTGTTCACATTTGTCCTATTTTATACACAATTACCTCTGAATAGGTTTCAGGTAGAGATCCTCCTTCTTGCCTGGTGTGTAGTTGGGACCCATAATACGCACTTTCTGTCCTGTAGATACAACCCCGGAGAAGACACGGCCAAAGGCATAGAAACGTCCCTTATCAGTTGTAGGCACCATCTTGGATATATACATCATCAGGGGGCCTTTAGGATCGCAGCTTTTCACACCTGTGAGGAGAATGATAAAACACAGAATTCAGAGGTCTGCTAACACCACAGTTCAAAGCTATTCAAGGCCACCAAATAAGCAAGATTTTGAACATGAGGAATTGTGACTTACCCATGGCAGCTTCATCATCGGGTGGTCCCTCATACAGGAGGTCACAGCGGTACTTCTGCGCAGTGACGGGTGATGGCAGGTGGATTGTGATCATCTGAAGCAAGGCATCTCCAGCGGGCAACCAGCGCCTCATCACAGCCTGGGAAAACACAATAGAGAATTACATCACACCGGACCATGCTACAGAAGAGGAATTGGGTCCTTCAGACTCTGCCGGGGGGGGGGAACTACACATGACCAACTTGTACCGTGTTGCTGGAAACTTACAATGATAATACAGATTTACAATAAAGGCTAGATACATGAAGGGCCACACAGGGCCAGTCTAGAGAGGCAATGCTTCAGGGAGCATGAAAAGTCACCTTTTATGGATATTTGGAGGGTAAACCACCCATTTTATAAGTGGCTTAGAAACTTCAGGAGTGAAATGTGTCTGTACACCCGCTGCCATGTAATGGACTCTCTGCTTGCAGATTGAAGTTGGAGCATCTTAGAACAGGGGCAGGCAACCTCCACACTCCAGCTGTGGAGCAACTATAAATCCCATTAAGCCTCTTCCTCTGGGAGTCGTGCTTGTGGCTGTCAAGTCTAGCAATGCCTCATGGGACTTGCACCACAGCTGGAGTGCCAACGTTTCTTACGCCCCCATCTTAGACCCTTATAACCACTTTGAAGTCACAAAAGTCACAAATTGAACACTGCTTTGACTTGGGTGAAGAGTTCTCACATTTTGGCATTTCCAAAGCAGCTTTAAAACTCCTATTCTCACTAACCCCGCTAGGAAAAGGCTCTGGCAGTGCAGTTTGAGGAGACATGCGTCTACTTGTCATGCACACTGTACCCCTTTCCACCAATTTGTTCTCTGCTTCAGCACAGCCTAAAACCAAAGTGAAATCTAGTTGGGGGTGCAATGGCACACCAATAGGAGCCACATAAAATTATTCGTCAGGACAGCAGAAAGATGCAATGACTGAATTTTTTTTTATAGTAGAGAAACTTTAACCCCCCAAGATAACTACACTCACTTCCTGTACAGAGCGCAGCCCACAAGGAGAGAAGCCATTCTTCCCCTTTTACTTAGCCTAGTATCCGTCCTCCTAGATGTGGGGCTTCTACTACCCCAAGTCAGCTGTGTCCCTCAATAAACATATAAACAGGTTCGGAGATGACCTGAAATTGTTTTAGCGGCAAATAATCCCGCTTTGCCAGACGAATTCAAATTACATTTTCTTGTTTCCTAAACCGCAGACCTTTGTCCTCTCTGTCTTTGAAGAGACAATCCAGCCATTTACAGATGCGTGGAAAGATTTATAGAGGGATGCGTGTTCCCTGGGCATCAGCAGATTCTAATTATAGCTTTTACAACCATCACTCCTGTACACCAAGTGACATCCATGCTCAGTCAGCCTGCCAAACAATTAACACACCCTTAGTGAACATGTTCCAGATTACCATATTCCCACCTGCACTCTGCCAACCTCCCTGCCATTCTCACCCGCACAATTGCCCTGTACGGCCCTTGGCATTCATCTGACATTACTTCATTTCAAACCACTGTCACAGAATAAACATGCACATAACAGATGTTAGGACACTGTGCTGCAAAGCTTTGTTCCAGGTCAGAGACTCACCAGTGGTGAATGTATCAATTCCCAGTGATCCCAGCTTTTCCTGGCAGTTACAGTGCTGCTTTCCAGTTGGGGATAGTCTTGCCCACAACTGGAAAGCAGTGATCACTGAGGAACATCTGCTGAACATGCGTCATGCTGACAAAGGCTAACCCATCAATTGCCGCTTCAGTCAGGAGGCACCATACCTTCAGAAGTTGCTTTCCTTCCTTTTCTCGGTCCTCTACGTCCAGCTTGATATCCAACTTCTCAATCAGTTTGGCAGTTTCGTCTTTCTTGAAGTTCATGATGGCATCAAATACCTACACACAACAGTGAAAACTCAGCATCTCCGAATTCCTCATTTCATAGCGTCACAGTCCTGACACACAAACTGAATTGAATATCCCTTACCTTGAAGATGGGATCCAGAATAAGCTGGCTGAAGGTACGGGGGAACTTCTTTCCATCAGGAGCGTTTGCAGTTTTGCTGAATTTGCCAGAGGCTGGATCAAAGTACCTAAAAAGTGTAGATGGACTTAGAAACATGAACAGAAGAGAACCCCATGGGTCTAGCCCGTAACCCTCAATCTAATGATTTATGAATGTTTTATACAATCAGGAATACAAAATGCCAGACAGGTCAGTATAGAACTTTGATAAATCAGATTTACAGACTACCGGAATGAGATCAGAGGTATAGTGAGCAGCAATAATGACTACATGATAGAGATTGAATCTAGCAGCCATCCATATACAAAAAGCACATGGCATGCGAGGGCTGAAGATGTGACATATCAGATCATAAACTGGGCACATTTTTCGTCAGAATCTTCCAATTGTGATTTCAGCCACAAATAAGGTTAGCTCAGAACAAGTCATCATCTCTCCGCCTGACGCCAATAGTATGTCAAGCTGAACCGAGACAATGGTCCTGTATAATAGTGTCACTTATTCAAGGGGTATTTCCCTTGGGCGCAGGGTGAATGCTAAACATTTTTAGAATGGATCACAAAGTTTACAAGTGGGCAAGCAGAATACTACAGGAGCCGACTTTCTGCCCAGATGTCTCTCCTCAAGGACAATGCAGCAATTTGGCTGACAGATTATACGAGCTGCAGCTCCGATAACACAAAAGCTTAATCTTAGGCAAGTCTATAAAAAAAAAAAAAAAATGGTTATTAAGTTTGTGATTTAGGCCCTGCAGCACCAAGTTTAGTGTAATAAAAAAGGAACTAGAGTACAACATCTCTGATAAGGGAAGAAGTTTAACTCTTCTGATCGATATACTGCTCCGACCATACAACTAAGTGACACATGTAGGCCTACGTACTTGTCGCCCCAAAGTTTCTTCATCATGTCTTCCACTTTCTTTGCACGCTCTAATGGTGTAAGCTGCGCCTTCTCTCCTTTGGCAGCAAATTTGGCAACATACATCTCAGCAAACTGTTTCAGGGTGAAGGCCCAGCCATGCAGACCGGAACCAAAGCCAACTGTGCCAATAACTGGGTCAATCTACAATGAGAGGAATTATGGGTAAGAAGACATTTAGATAACCAAACATTGGACAGTGAATAAATGGGTGAATACGCACACCAGTCAGCATTTTCAGGAGGTGGTGTGCAGGATCCCTGCAGTCTCAAGAGAAACTTGCTTTAAAGTAAACATGTTCTGTGTGCAATTCTCACGAGATGCCTTGCAAATCCCCTTCTGAAGATACCAGTTTGTCTGGCTACTACATAAGTCAGATGCACTAATCTGCATTCTTTATCCAGGGTAAGGTACCCAAACAGATCAATTCACAAGGATTTAATACGTGACCAATTTTTACATCTCTCAGCTGAAAAACTCACTTTAAAATAAGGAACCTAATCAATGTGAACCTTATCCCCGGGGGTGCCCCCTGTGAAGCTTCAAGCACTGAAGTAAACATGGCAGTCAGAAAACTAGCATATGCAGTACAATAAGGAGCCAAAAGCAGTTGTGTCAGGAAAGTGTTAATGTGAATAAAAACCCCAGGACAGAAACATGCAAGCTGCCACTACTGACCTGACCTGGCCATGAAACATGCAATGACGACAACATCCTCATCCTATGGCATTTAGTCATTGAAGATCAGAACAAGTAGGTAGCCAAGACTATTGATCTGCAACTTGACCTCAAGTTAGGGGACTCAAGCAGGGAAGCAAAGATGGTTATACCAACCCCAAGCTTGCAACAAGTTAAATGACAGCTCCATGATTCCAAGGCAAACCAGCTCCCTTTAATACCTGCTGGGATCAACTCCATTCTCACGAGAAGCCCAAGCAACCTAGCCAACAGTTGCAGTGAAAGCCAGGATGAATTGGGGCCCGTGCTGAGGGGCTTGTGTGGTGACGTTTGAAACTATTGGGAGATCATTCAGAATTCTTGACAGATGCATTTGACCCACTTCATGTGGGTTTTTACAATAATGGGAATGCAAAAATCAAATGTCCATCGCTATAGGTCCTAAAGCAGTAAGCAGACCAGAATATGGCCACCAGACACATGCACACAATTGTAAAATACACAAACTAGTTATTTTTTTTTTTAAAGTGGAGATTTAAAGACTACGCACTGCAAAGAAAATACAAAATCATTTCAAATGCAGGTCTTGTTTTACAACCACACATTTAGAATTGATGTTCCTGCAACACACACACACACTAAAGGGGCTGACCACAAGCAAGAGTCCATGACTCTGCAGAATAGTGTGAGCTCTACACCGAATTCTCAAATTATCTCCCATCTGCCACTTTGAGGGCTGCACATAGATATCAGCACATGGATCACGCCTTCTTACCATGATGTTCCCCATAGGTCCAGTTTCTCCCTCTCCATAGGTAGAGATGATAACGTTGACGTTTTCCACTATCCTCTGGAAGGTCAGGTACAATTCTTCGGGAACCAGCTGAAGTTCCAGCAGGGCTCGGTCCATTTTATTCATCATGAGAACTGGCTTGATCCTCTCAGCAATGGCCTGTCGCAGGACGGTCTCTGTCTGTACACACACACCTAAAGGAAACAAGGACGAGAGACATTTGAGGATTTTCTGGCTAGATCGTTTGACCCCGGTCTAAAGTGGCAGCACAACGGGGCCGACCGGCATCATAACTATAATGTCTACAAAAACAATTCATTCATAAAAACAGGACCCCAACGTTGATGAACCTTTATCCCCATAATTGTATACAAGTGTTTTCAGTTCATGGAGCTGGGCAGGTAAAATGTGTACTGTTGGGTCTTGAGAACTGGATTCAGTGAAATGAAATTAAAAAAAAAAAAAAAAAAGTCCTCAAACTGGGGGGCCCACTGAAAGATTCCACTCCTAACTTCTAGAGTCTACAAAAGCATTTCCTCAGTCTGAAGAAAGTTCTTCTAAAATCAACTTTTGGGACAGGAAAGGAGAAAACCGGAGGGATATTAACCATTCCCTACTCTAATCTAAATTATTTTTTTGTTGCCAAAAAAAAACCCCCCAATAACCCTCACGGCACTTCAAGTGTTTCAACCACCTCAAAGCAGATGAACATCCAAACGTCATACATTGACAAAACATAAAGACCATAAGCATGAAGAATCCTTCATATCCATACCTGATACACAGTCAACTACTACAAGAGCACCGTCTGTGACACGGAGGGCGGCAGTGACCTCAGAGGAGAAGTCGACGTGTCCTGGAGAATCGATCAGGTTAATAAGGAAACCAGAGCCATCTTTGCACTGTTTGATGAAGGCCAAGTCGTTTTCCGTGAGCTCATAAAACAAAGAAATTGCCCTGCAAGAAAATAAAAGCATTCGTTAGGAGGTGCAGTATGACGGTAACCACAGCAAGAAAACATCAAGCCATCATCTTCACAATTTAAAGCAAAAATGCTGAGCGATTGCTAAAAGCAAATATTCAGCAATCACCATCTTCTATTACAAGCATTTACACAGTGTTTTACATACTATATATTCACTACCCTCAAGGAGCTTACAATGTAAGGTCCCCATCTCCCATGCATACATACACAAATACTAGAATAATTTTAGACAGCAGCTTGTTATCCTACCAAGCGTGCCCATGGAGTGCAAGAAGCACCCACACAAGCACAGGGAGAACATGCAAACTCCATGCAGATCGTGCCCCGACCAGGATTCAAGGGCCCAGTCAGCAAGGAAGAGCTAACCACTAGGCCACTGTGCTACCTCCATTACGTTCTGCCTTTATCATAGGTGACTATGGATTCCCAAAAACGAGATTACTCAGATTTCTTGGTTTATTAGCCTAAAGTAAACCTGAGCAAGTCTGGCCCGGTTTCTGTACCAGCCCTTAAACATGGAAGGAAACGGCCAACGAAATAGAACTGGGAAGAAAGGCCCCAAAAACTCAATATATGGAAGAGCACTGGTCAAGTCTAATCCACACTATTCCAATTCTCAGAGCTAAATGAAAACCCTTCAGAAGCATGGAGGGTAAAATTTACTCTTTAAAAATGACATGGGGATATTGAATATCGTAGCAGTGTGGTAGGGAGAGAAGGCCCATGACCTGACTCAGCAGATCAGCATGGGAGAGAGACTACCATCCGCAGTGTGTCATGTGCTAGATCATTACTTTGTATCTGCAAAACTGTACAGTATAAAGTACAAAGTGTGAAAGCACCCACGTAATAAGACAAGTCTGGACACATCCAGGAGCCATGCAGCCAATGTACCCAAAACACAGCTACAAATATCAAATTAACCAGATTTTCTGCAACATTCCGCTTCATACCAGAGATTTCCCCCACAGTAAGAATTTCTATGTGGCTAGATGTCCATCATTCAGCCCACTTCTGAGCTCAATGTCCTGGACCTGCCCCCAGCCTGTGACAGGACTACAAGAGAAGTCGCACAGTGATGAGGTCATCCATTGCTCAGCTTTCTCTTCCCATCAGCATGCTTCTTAGCACGTGAACCCATTGGCTCCTTGTACTGCTTTTCTTCCTGTCACAATTTAGACTTGATGTACAGGGACTACAAGAGGCCAATACCAGGTCAGATTTAGATACTTCTGCTACTTTCACTGAACGAACACATTAAAATTACTTCATGATTACAGAGCTGCATTAAGTTTGGCCTTTTTAGAGCTGCCGGGAGTGCAGCTTTTAGGTGGATTGGCCCAAAACTGATCAGTGAAGGTGTCTGCTCACACCATCGCACCTAGGACTGTGCCTTGTGTTGGAGTGCCCTTTAAATTTGAATAATACTCCCAATAAATCTATGGAGCCCAAAGTGGTACAAAGTGCAGGAGCAACGTCTCCTGCATGGGGGCCCAATCAAAAGCCATGGGCTGCCAAATCACATGGTGGGGTGATTGGGCCCTTTGTAGTTTGAGCTATGGTCATACAGCTTTGTTTAAAGAAAATCATTGGGGCAGAATGTCTGGCCATCTCCTGATTCAAAATTTCCTGAATCCCTGGAAAAGTCACCTGGACATTTATGTTTAGAAGCACACAAAATGCAACTCGAGTAGAAGGGCAGCATACGAACAAATCATCATCTGATTGAGGGTAACCAGACATCCGCAGAAGACACAGCGGGCCGTACTCACGTGGATTTGATGGTGATGCAACGTTCTTGTTCGTCTTTACGAGTGTCCGTGAAGCGCGTTTCACCAGCTCTGGCGGAGGCAATGATCCCGGCTTTACATACCAAGGAATCCGTCAAGGTGGATTTGCCATGGTCGACGTGAGCAATCACGGACATGTTTCTGATGTTGGACTTTTTGTCCATGATCGCTCGGATCTGGTCTACGGTGAAGTTCACCTGTAAAAGAAAAATGCAACTTATTCCGATGAACCTTCATACAGAAAAAGACGCTCGCTTCACATGCACCCCTGTGGTACAGTTGGTCACACATTACAATCAGATTGCACAAATGTGTGAAGTCTTCTTCAGATTTACAAGTGTTTCAATGCTCAAGAATCACTACGCCCCCCAACCTCCTATAGAGATTTAAAAAACACCCCTGTAAACTTCCACTACCTGTAAACTTCCACATTTCAGTTATGAAAGGACAAGCATTTATAAATGCAGGGTGAATTGTTTAAAGTGCCCCCTTCAACTAACAAAGTGCCCCTTAAAACATGCAACTTGAAAAGAAAAAAAAAAAGGAGAACATTTACCTCTACTGCAGCCTGTACTTCTGAACACTCACTTCAGAAATGGTTTATCAAAAAAAACAAGACTTCTGGGGTGTTGAGTTGCTGGATCCCCTACAGTGCTCAGTGGTTCCTCCCATTGACCGCCTACATCACACAGCAGTGACATATGGAAGTCTGTGGCAGGAACCACTGAGTGTTGCAGGGTACCAGGAGAGACTTTTCAGGTCTGTGGCTGAAGATAACTTCAGTCAGTTTTTCTCCAACAAAGCAGCGACTGGTGGCAAGCAGGGCTGGACAAAACAGGATCCTGGTAGCCAATGCTCCTTAACCTCTTGCCGTCCGCAGTAAAAAAACGGACGGACGGCACTGCTGCATCTGCGAGTTGCCGTCTCCAGACGGCAATTTTTTTCTGCTCGTGCGCGCCCCCTAGCGGGCACGCACGGTCAAAAAAGACCCGCTCAATGCACACACCCGTTACCGGGTGTTTCACATATAGGCGATCGGCGGGTCTATAGCCCGCCGATCGCCTATATGTGCTCGTTCGCGGCA